TGCTGCAACTATTTCAGCACCAACAGTTGCAACAAATTTGGATATTTTTGCTGTGTCGGGACTTTGCTTTTCTTTGGTGATTCGTTGTTTCAATACATGGCAGTAAGACAATTAGCAAACTTTTTTTTCATAAATGTTTTCAATAAGCATATTGTTAGGTTCAAAAAGAAATTGATCACAACGTGGAATAAGCGTTGGATTTAAGGTGACGACATCGCGACAGCATATCGACATCTTTTCCATGTCGATTTAGTGGACAAATCTGCACATCGATCAAGCATCGTTGAAGGGACGTTTAATTAATATCGGATTTTGGTTGGTCGGTGTTTCAATTTAAAGTCAACGTTGAAACAACATTGCATACGTATCATTGAAACAACGTCTTGAAAAATACGTTGAATTTACGTTGATTTATAGTATTTCGACTTCGTGACGTGATTTCGACCAAAATGTAAACATTAAAACAACGTAGTGTGCCTGCGGGGAAGCATTATAAAAATAAGACTGAAACAGAATCACAATGTGTTTTCCATAGGGGCTCGATTTTCAATTTCTCAAGATCTGAGTAGGCCTATTGACCTTACATTTTGTCAAACCCCCCCCCCCCAAGATAATGTATTCTTGTTGGTTGCTCGCCTGTGGTAGACACCATAATTCCGAGTCTTATCATACATTATTAAGAATTTTGGACATTCTCTGGCGTTCCTACATCGATGGTAAGCCTGACTGGCCAGTGGCAGAGCGTACAGTTAATTAGAGCTAAGGTCGTCAGTAAATTACCTAGCGTGTAAGATACGGCTAGAAATGAATAATGGCATTGAGCAGGTTGATCAAGGTAATGGTCAGTTAAGCCCATCGCAATTTTTAATAATTTGGACACGCCACGGAAACTCACCGTGATTAAATGAAGCGGCAAATTTCAAAATTTCCTGTCACAGGATTCCACGGCTTCTTGTCAACTGTGCTTACAACGCCTGTGCTTACAACGCAAGCACGAACATTCTTTGCCAACGCACGTAGCACAGCATCCTAGGCATGCGCGTGAAGATGTTGTGTCATTGTGCTAACCACTGATTAGAAGGAAAACGCTGTTTATTACAGGAGATTCTTTGCTCACGAAAGGCAGAGCCGTATACCGTTTTACGAATACCGCCATCTTGTGGTCACGTGGTAATCTCAGGGGGACATTTTGATAGAATTGCTTCCCATCGTGACATTGTTACCTGAATATGATTGGACGTATTTCTATTGAAATGCCTCCTGAGAGTACCTCATGCCCACAAAGATGGCAATATCCGTAAAAGACGGACCCGCTATCCAATGTTGTTGGGCATGTCTTGCACGATCGCGAGGTCGAACGACCGAGAATCCAGATTTTATGCTCGAATTTCACTGATCGGCTGATCAACGCGGTTTGCAAGCGGTCACTCCCTACAGGTAGTGGTTGGAGCGTACTGCTCGACACCCTGGGAACGAGGTTGCATTTGCCAGTAAATGAAACAGGGCTATTGAATCATTGATTGTACTGCGCATGCGCCGTTGAACAGATTTACACTGAAAAGTCACGTTTGAGGGTAAAGGCCGGTACTCCACTCGAATTTAAGTGCGAATTCGTTAAGGTAAACGTCACTATGAAAGTTCAGTGTTGACGTCATGAAATTAGTCTGAGTATCACCCGTTGTCCAGCGGAGCCCTCTCCGTAACCAACGTCTGGTACATTATACACGTTATGCGTGCCAGTCAATCGAAGTCGACTTTAGAAATTGTGACGTCAGTTCCGTCAAAAATGTGAACTAAGCTGTGGATTGGTCTATTTGGCTGCTATTTGTAATACAACAACGGGCCTACCGAAGACCTGATATAAGCGCCCGCTGAATGGTCAAGACGCAGTCTTGTTTTGTATAATTAATCGCCGAATCTGCTCATATATCGTAGGCCCTTGCTGTGCAACGGGATGTAGAGCCTGACAGCTGACCCCCGGTGGCGCGCTTCTGGACCCCTCGTACAGGAAAAAAAACGTGTTAAGGCGGAAATTTTTAAACTTATTTTTGGTACATTGATTTCCGAAGATAATCTCCCTCGGAAAAGTTTTTACTAGAATCCCAATTTTTGGAAACTGAAAAAAATGGCATAACGTGAAAGAGAAATATCGTGCCAAAAATGACCTATCACTTCCGAAGATCTAAAATACCTGTGAACTAGTGGAATGTTGTGGCAGTCGTTGGGAAAAACTGAAACTTAAATAGGAGACTAAAATGTCTTTTGGGACACACAATTTTTTAAATAAACTTGAAGGACTAATTCTCATTTATAAACAAATCTAAAATTACCATTAATAAGAACTGTATTCAAGCAAACCCGACTAAATGTAGAATCCATCGGATGTAGGTAGGTAAATCTCCGCGTCCTTTTTATTTTCGTTTTCAAGGGAGTAGGCGATGTGAAAACAAACGTGATCCAACAAGGAGACGTATAGGAATACGAATGCCAAGATAAAATTCCAACATGAATGTTTCTCGGTGTGATTAGGGTTAGAAATCATTGTGTCAACAATAATTAAAGCAAGAGAAAGGGCAGCGCCGTGTAAAATGCCCATAGAAGGGTCGCTGAGGGGTCCGGAAGCTTAAAGACAAAACGGCGTACTTTCAGGCTCTCTTTCATAGACTATTCTAGCTGAGAATTCGCAAAAGTTGAATGCATTTCAACTCCGGCGAATTTGGCAGTGAATGTTTTGCGAGGTCAAATTCGCTTCGAATTTGCATTCGCGATTTTTTTCACGTTATTAATATGAAGCGGACTTTAAGGGGGATAGAACTCATAAGTTCAGTGTGACACCTGTGTCAAACGACTTTGTAAATCCTTTGTTATTTATCATTTGAAAAGTAATCGACTGTGGATTTTCAAATATTTCGCAATCCTCGGTGCTGACTGACATAAGCTTGAACGACAGCAGGAGTTATTGATCCGTGCGAGTGTCTCTTTGCCTTGCCGACAGCCACGATGACACTCGCCGATGAATATTGCATTAATGAAGACCTTACTCCGCACAATCAATGCCCTCGTATATACCGTTGTCAAGACAACTCCTAATTCAGTCTGTAGACTTTTATGATCATTTTGGCCCACATCACATTAGGCAGTCGGGTCAGAAAAATACAAAATGTGTGAGATTTGCCATTTACTGCGGGGCCTTAATGGATCTAAATACAGTTGCCTTGGCAACTAGTCAGTCTGTACACTTTTATGATCATTTTGGTCCGCATAAAGAAAAATACAAGACGTGTGAATTTTTGCCATTAGTGTTGGGCCTAAACTGATCTAAATACAGTTGCCATGGCAACTAGTCTGTGCACTTTAATGAACATTACGGTGCAAATTACATTAGTCATTCTGGTCATACAGATAAGGCAGTCGTGTAAATGTAACTTAAGATGAGTGAGATTTACCATTTACGTCACGATTAATGTGATCAGTTGCATGTAGCCACAACATATTCATTTTGCTGCACATGAATTAATACTGCATTTCCACTGTCAGATAAAATGTTCAAGTATGTCACTTTCATATCCTCGTTGGCATTACTTTTGGCTCACTGCTCCATGATTTGACATCGCAAATTTGTTTTGCAGTGTGTGTGACATTTGTTTACTCGTATTCCGATCGTCTGACAGTCTTATGGCTTCTTGCTGTCAAATCACCATTTGCCTATATTTCGTCCCACGATGAAAAGTGTACACGCAAATCACTATTTGTGTTCATTAGGTTGTTGAATTTAATTTTTTTTTTTTACAGCTCTTAGGCGAAGTTAAGGCAAAGAATAACTATTAGCCTTAAGTTATCAGGAGACTTTAATAACTACCCCCTTTCCATAAACAGGGGGTGGGCGCAGTGGTTTCTTTCCTAGCCTTCCATTTCTATGGCGCGGTTTTTTTTACGTGGCCAATGATCGAGCAAACCTTTCTCCCACAATGTTTTCAATGAGTACATTTTCGGGTTCCCAATTTGAATAGAAAACCCCTAAACTGAACAGTTTCTTCCCGAGATGACATCACAGCAAAAGAAGTGCACTTTTCAATAAACCTTACCAAAAAAGGATGTCAAATAGTTTTCATGCAGTTAAGAGGAGTAGAAAGTTGCACAAATGTGGGAAAAAAAAATCATCGCATGGACCCCTTTAATTCACTAGATGTCCCGGTGTAGCAAATGATTCCGTTATCTATCGTTTTACGACTTGACCAAAAAAAACCGCCTCGGAGGCAACCGCGTACGGGCTTAATAGATAATCCAAGATGTTCAAATCGTAGCTCGACTGGTTGATTATTTTTGATTATAGTTTGACGGATGCCAAAGCGGGCCCAAAAAAAATTGCCGACGATAGATTTTTGTTTGTCGTCAGGTATTCATGAAATTATTTATCTAAGATTGTAGCCTGTAGGAATGGGGGATTACAGGATCGGAGACGTTAGCGAATAGAGATTGACTTCGCGAGAAGAGCAGGGGCAAGGGGAAATCCCTTTCTTTTTTTCTTTCTTTCTTTCCTGATTTCGAACAACATTCAACAGCACACGCGCCAGAAACGGATGGGCAAAACAGCAATTTACACAAACATAAAAAACCTTTTACATACACACAGTAGAAATTTAAATTAAAAAAACCCAAAATTAAAATAAAAAACCGTTTAAGACATCAAAACATTAAAGGGCACAATGAAATGAATCAGGCTCACTCTGGGCCCGACTCTTCAATCCATGACAGTGGACCCACATTAAAGAGCAAAAGTGGTGTTCTTTAAAGTTTGCCTGACAAAAAAATTGAAACTAAAAAGGGACTGGCTAAAAATATGCGGAATACATTGAAGAATTCGACAAACAATGGACTTGTTTACTCTACGGCATTTCTGAAGCTTTTTGAAGGTTGTTGTCAAAAGAGTTATTTGATATTAAGAGACAAAGTTCCCCCAAACACCAACAATATGCACAGAGGTGAAATGTGCTTCAAATTGTAACCGAGCTGGAAAGGTTACGCAGAAATTTGAAAGTGACACTGGGTATATATTCCACTATAAATTGATCAAAATTTTATTACAAAAAAACGACAGTCATTCTTCAGCAGTCTGTAATAACAGAAAACAGAAGAATAGAAATTAATTTATTTACAAATATACAATGACTATGAATCCAATATTCAATTATTTAATTATTTGAAATAAACATCTCTCCTTATCCTTGGCTATCTTTTATCTCGAGAAATTGCTTTACTGGTTCTATAAACCTCAATTTCCATTGATTTGTTCCATAGAAATGTTTTTGCTGCGAATTTACAAGTACATTTCTTAGAGAGGCATAAAAATATTAAAGGCATAAAAATTTAATCAAGGAGAAATAATCTCCATAAGCACTTGCTATGCAATAATTTTACAACACATTAATCTCCAAATCTCCAAATCTCTAAATCTCCAATCTCCAATTCACATTTCAAGCAATAATGTTTTACACACGTACCCAAATATTATGGATGCTGGATAAGGGATACACTGGTCTACTCGAGAAGGCTTCTCTATTTGTGACCACTCAGGAACCACAGAACCACAAGCAGTAGCTGTAATAAAATTACTGTACATATTAAGTAATCTCATAAATACTAATAAATGTTTCGATGAAGGAATATTAAATAATCATCAGTGCCATCAAAAAGTTTCATCTCCACAGTACATGTGTACACATCCGTAGTTATTCTATATTGATGAATTTACAATGCATTTTATACCGTACATCTATATCTTAACATTTGTTTGTTTAAACAGTAAGGCTCATAAAAAGAGTATTCAATATTCTGTATTCGTACATCCATCTATATGTCTCATGTGTTTCATTTCAGGCTAAAACATTCTATTATTTCTCTTTCCATCCACGCTATCCAAATTTGAGTTCAATAAAGTGCATTGACCCTATAATTCAACATACAAGAAACATGTATTTAGGATCGAAGTATGTACAAGTATACAGTCAATATTACCAGGAGGTTCGGTATCGAAAATTCAAGTCATCTTATGCACAATTTTCATATAGACTTGGCTTTCAACCTGGGATATTTATTTCATGGCATAAAAATGTTTCATACAGACTTGGCTTCCAACCTCGAGTATTCATGGCATAAAAATGTGTCGTAAAGTGCTATTTAAGATAACATCAAAATTTACGAAGTTGAAACACTTACCGGAGCAGTTGCGGCCTGTGTACCTATGCCTCGGGATGTTTGGGCAACTACACGATATGCATGTACATGATATGTGTATGCACATGCGGCGTGCTAACCATGGCAAAACCACGTGAGAAACACAGCAAAATATAGACAAGCTGGCTCGCAATAAGGTGTGGCTGGCAGCAGCAACGACAAGCAGTCAAGTGACCTACCCATGCTTGCTTACTCTCCAAGAAAACTAGCGAAAAATTCACGGAATGTGCGTCCGAAGCCCTATGCTTTTGAGACACTGCACGGAATAAAAGGCTTTTTCGCACTGCATGTCATATGCAAATTGTTACGCAACTGTGTATGCTCTATTCAACGGAAAACACAAGAGGGCGCTCGCAATGCTTCGACAACTTTCGCATCGCTGTTTATGCTAAAAATATAAGACATCGACAAAGAAATATTTTACAGACGGGACCTGGCAGCATAATTACAGGAATTTAAGTCTGGCCGGTCACAATCATCCGGGATTAAAAATTGTGTAATGAAAAATATTCTCAAAAGACAAAAAAATTATCTTGGCAGCTCTAGACTGAGTGAGACAGTGGACAAGAGATGTTTACTTAAAAAAAATCCTTCACCAGTTCTTCAGAATGAAGTTGGACTATGATAATATGTACACATGGTCGAGAGCACGATAAAAGAATGTCCACCACTAGTATATGACTAGTGAAATGAGATGACCTCAATGGACCTTAAATCTAAAACTCCCAATTTGGCCAATGATCAGACATACGAAAGCCCTAACTAAATGAAAATCTGGCTATCTGTTTCTCAAAATAAAACATTCCCTAAAAAAACATCCATAATATCAGTATAAAATGGCAAGATAGTGTGGAATGGTGGGATAGAGAAAATGGTAAAAATATGGTCCATCTGTAGCATGTCGCTGGAGAAATAGAGATTACATTTATCTCAATTGGTCCAAGAAACCTAATTTCTCAAGATGATCATATACTACACTATCCTTCACTATAAAAAAATCCAAGCATCTGGCTAACACCTACATGTATTTTAAAAAGAAAATCCTCAACATATACTTACAGGGCCTCTTTCATCCCCAACCTAAACATGTTTATTTATCCACTTTGGGTTAGCTAATCCCAAAAATATAGTGGTTAAAACGAAATTAGGACATGAAGAGAATAAAATTTACCAAATACTGGCTACTATCAATACGGATAAAAGGACTGTACAGTTTAAGAATGACATACAGGGTCTGCATTAGATCTATCCTGGGTTTTAAATGTACAGGTGTCATTCCTCCAAAAGTCTCAAATCTAGAGCAAATACTCTACTTTCTGCGACTATGAATTCAATATGTTTCAACCAGAGACTACAACTAGTTATGTGAAAAAATCAATACACGGACAATACAAGTACAGGCAGCATGAGCAAGCAATTAGCATGCATCACCTTAACACGCATTCTACGCAGCGTCGGTAAAGAAACAGATACGATATGCTACAGCGGTTCGCGGATACGAGAGACTGAGCAACAAGCGGGTGGTAACTGCTGTGAAGACAGCAGGGCAGGGAGAGAGGCATGAGGTACAGAAGCCAGAACTGTCCCTGGAAAGCTTAAACCTGAAGATATAAAAAGAAATAAACTACCACGGTGTTACTAAAATGTTCACACAATATATGAGTATATACTCAAATGTGAAATATCTAAAGCGTCATCTCCATGGCAAACTTGATTTTACCAAAATAGCTGATCTTCAATCGGACCAATCAAACAATCAATCAATCTGTTCTATGTATGTGATAAAGCTGTGTCTAACATGCAAAATTTACGATTGTCAAAACGACATGCTCAGTGGCTACAAGTTAAAATACAAATGAATGTGCAATATTAAAATGTTAAAAATCTTGACTGCAAGACACTGTTCCCAGTGAATATGTTTACAGTTCACCATATGTGAAAGAGTTCTGTAGCTGAATACTAGCAGCACACTCCACGGCCGGTCGACTGAAAAACAGGTAATGGTGAAGAATGTCTCTCCAAGCTGTCTCAACGACTGGGTGCCGAACTGTGGGGAAGATGTGTGAAGCTAAGAAGGCTCTCCGAGAAGATGTGTGTAGCTACATGGAAAATACTCTCACTTCAGACGAACATCTGGGCAGCTGTCTGTCCGGAGACTAGATGATGTAAACGCACTGCTGCAGCAAACCACCCTTCAGATCAAAGATGCTTCTCTCCAGAAGGTTGTCATCGAAGATAATAATGATGATGATGATGATGATAATAATAATAATGACTGTCGTTTGTATTTGATCAAAGTGTCACAAATTAAGATGTCTTTTATGACATCCTGCCGACTACGCCATTTTTGTAACCGAGCTGGAAAGGTTACGCAGAAATTTGAAAGTGACACTGGGTATATATTCCACTATAAATTGATCAAAATTTTATTACAAAAAAACGACAGTCATTCTTCAGCAGTCTGTAATAACAGAAAACAGAAGAATAGAAATTAATTTATTTACAAATATACAATGACTATGAATCCAATATTCAATTATTTAATTATTTGAAATAAACATCTCTCCTTATCCTTGGCTATCTTTTATCTCGAGAAATTGCTTTACTGGTTCTATAAACCTCAATTTCCATTGATTTGTTCCATAGAAATGTTTTTGCTGCGAATCTACAAGTACATTTCTTAGAGAGGCATAAAAATATTAAAGGCATAAAAATTTAATCAAGGAGAAATAATCTCCATAAGCACTTGCTATGCAATAATTTTACAACACATTAATCTCCAAATCTCCAAATCTCTAAATCTCCAATCTCCAATCTCCAATTCACATTTCAAGCAATAATGTTTTACACACGTACCCAAATATTATGGATGCTGGATAAGGGATACACTGGTCTACTCGAGAAGGCTTCTCTATTTGTGACCACTCAGGAACCACAGAACCACAAGCAGTAGCTGTAATAAAATTACTGTACATATTAAGTAATCTCATAAATACTAATAAATGTTTCGATGAAGGAATATTAAATAATCATCAGTGCCATCAAAAAGTTTCATCTCCACAGTACATGTGTACACATCCGTAGTTATTCTATATTGATGAATTTACAATGCATTTTATACCGTACATCTATATCTTAACATTTGTTTGTTTAAACAGTAAGGCTCATAAAAAGAGTATTCAATATTCTGTATTCGTACATCCATCTATATGTCTCATGTGTTTCATTTCAGGCTAAAACATTCTATTATTTCTCTTTCCATCCACGCTATCCAAATTTGAGTTCAATAAAGTGCATTGACCCTATAATTCAACATACAAGAAACATGTATTTAGGATCGAAGTATGTACAAGTATACAGTCAATATTACCAGGAGGTTCGGTATCGAAAATTCAAGTCATCTTATGCACAATTTTCATATAGACTTGGCTTTCAACCTGGGATATTTATTTCATGGCATAAAAATGTTTCATACAGACTTGGCTTCCAACCTCGAGTATTCATGGCATAAAAATGTGTCGTAAAGTGCTATTTAAGATAACATCAAAATTTACGAAGTTGAAACACTTACCGGAGCAGTTGCGGCCTGTGTACCTATGCCTCGGGATGTTTGGGCAACTACACGATATGCATGTACATGATATGTGTATGCACATGCGGCGTGCTAACCATGGCAAAACCACGTGAGAAACACAGCAAAATATAGACAAGCTGGCTCGCAATAAGGTGTGGCTGGCAGCAGCAACGACAAGCAGTCAAGTGACCTACCCATGCTTGCTTACTCTCCAAGAAAACTAGCGAAAAATTCACGGAATGTGCGTCCGAAGCCCTATGCTTTTGAGACACTGCACGGAATAAAAGGCTTTTTCGCACTGCATGTCATATGCAAATTGTTACGCAACTGTGTATGCTCTATTCAACGGAAAACACAAGAGGGCGCTCGCAATGCTTCGACAACTTTCGCATCGCTGTTTATGCTAAAAATATAAGACATCGACAAAGAAATATTTTACAGACGGGACCTGGCAGCATAATTACAGGAATTTAAGTCTGGCCGGTCACAATATGTATACTCTTGAGGTAATTAAATTTGATATCGTTCACGCAGCTGCTGCATAACTCAGCTGTTATCTTTTCTTAGCGATTGAATAGTTCCATAATGATACACCTGTACTGTACATTATTATCAATAATAATAACCTATATCAACCGTAAGGGAATTGTAACAAGTTTACAAAGCAATGTGTATGTAGGGAACAAGGAGATAAGGACATATCTGGCCAGAGTGTTTCTATAACAGTCGTATACGAACCAGATAATAACGACGAAGGATTTTAATATAGATTGGCAGATCTAGAGCATCGAGCCGGACTTCGACCTTTCCGTAATGTTCCCCTCCCCTTACTCTTAAGTGTCCAGCGCTATTGCGGCATGATTTCAAGTAATTGGCCGCAATTCCTTGTCCCACGACATATACCATTGGCGGCAGACCGCAAGATGTCTTAAAATGGATGAGAAATATGACACGTGTCCCTCAGTTTTCCCTCCTTGAATTGCTCACCTTTCCATCTCACATCTCTCTGCGGAATTTGTCCCTTTTTTAAACTGTTTGCACTTAAAGCACTGTGAGGGACGAGTTTATACTCAATGCAAAAATGCGAGGTTGGATCTACGAAGGGGCTTCGCGTTAATACACGTGCAAACTGTATAGAATTCACCATGATTAACCCTCCTTGTTTATGCATGCACTAGGTGGAGATGCTACAGAGTTGGGCAACACTGGGACATGCAGGGTAGTGATGCGCCGATGACGGTTTGGGCACTCGGCCGGCAATATGAGCGATTGGGATGGAGAATCTGTCGCCGAGTCCGCCCGTTGAACCGCCGTCCCCTTGGGCCGAGAGACGCTTATCGCAAATCGCGTGCGAAGGTAAGACTAGATAAGGGCCCCGCGAAGACCGCGGCGGGATTTGATGAGGGGACGGGGGAACTGGCAAAGATTTTTTTGGTCAGCTATAGACTAATGTACATAATTTTACGATCATTATGGATGGGAAAATAAGAGGTGCTGAATGACGACCAATGTAACATAATCCACGGTATTTGCCCCCAAAAAGTACGATTACTTCGCTGCCACATGATTGCATTCGTGCATATAATTCTTTTCATAGATTATATAGTATGTTCCCGAGAAATTCTGTTCCCGTGAAAAACCAGCGTGTATGTCAGTCAAAGGTTGTATTTAACACAATTTGCACTTTAAAAGAATAATAAATCTGAGTTGATGTTTAAAGGTAATGTACAACATTTGCAAACATAAAACAATTACCTTACCATTTTTTCCCTCAAAATACTTGAGTGTAAGTGAATATAGGCCTAATAGTCTCAAGCATCTTGTGAGATCATGTGGTCACTCCAACGATGTTCGGCCGACCATCGTTCAAACAAACTGACTTTTGCCCCCAATTTGCCAAATCTAGTCTGGTTCTCTGCCGTGACAATGTATAACTGCTCCGTTTCGTCTGAAGTAGTGTCAGGGAACCAGACTACAACAACAGCATTTTTTGTCTTTTTTCCCCCAGCGTCTAACACAAAACTTTAAACTAGTCAGTGTATCAACACGTGCTATACTGACCCCAAATCCATCCATTTCTCGAAATCACAGCAAATGCAAATGTTGTATGTTACCTTTAAGTTACGATTATTTTGATTGAGAAATGGCGGTAACACCATACATGGTGTCGGGGTCGCTCTTACTATGAATACAGTTGACCATTCATAAAGTTAGTTTATATGCAAGACAATTTCACGGTGTGATGGACTGAGCGTTCAAAGTGTCAATTCTAAATCAGTTTCGCGGGTCGACAGCACTGCTCCCTTAATTGCTGACAGTGGGTTGGCTGTGCTTTATCTCAGCATTGTAATCATGTCAACCCAGGGGCGTAGCACGGTCATTTTTATTGGGGGGGTAAAATTTTTTAAATCCGTTGTGAAATGTAGACAGGTTTTTTCCTCCGGACACTTGGCCTCTGTAAAATAAAAAGGGGGGGGGGGGGGGGGCTGGTACCACGACAATTTTGCACACAAAGGGCCAATATATGGTGCTTTTCAGGGCGATACATGTGCGAAATTCAGAAAAAAGCATCCAAAACGGCAGATGCCACAAAAAAGGCCACTTGTTCAGAAAAAAGGGTACTTCGTAAACAAAAAGGGCACTCTTTACAAATTATTGGGGGGTAAGCCCGTTGAAAAAAGGGCATTTGAATGGAAAAAGGCAGTCTTTACAAAATATTGGGGGGGGGGGGTTGGTTGGTTTTTTTACCCCCCCCCCCCCCCGTTGGCTACGCCTATGCAACCACAAGTTAGACTTGACTCAAGTTGAATTTTTCATAAGTTGATATCCACCTCAACCGCTGCCACCATAACCAGCCCTAACGAACAGAAGCGCGACAGGTGTCACATTAACACACGTGATGCGAGCCATATTAGTACGCGTACAAAATAATGTACATGTATGTGTAGAATAACATGTTCCTGCATGCATTTTCTTCATCTGGGATGCATGCAATGTCGGAAGTCAAAAAGTTCGACTTGATTACTCTGCATTCTGCTCTGCAACAGCTTAACGGCTGTGCTCTGCTTCACTCGCTGAATCACATTTCATTTTATTTTTTCTCCAAAGCGGGATCCAAAAAGCAGTCGCCTTCAGAAGCTGGCCCTCGGCCCTCCCGCGGGACGATTGCACGGGTAGACAGCGTTGATTCTTTTCATGTGACCCTCGATTATGCTGAGCCCACTTTGTATGCCAGAGCAAGTCCGGCAAATCAGTTTGCCAAAGACAGTACTGAACATCGATACCAACAACATCGTCACAGCGCCACCAATGCAAACGCCCCCATGGCCAATGGGGTCAAGCCAATCAAGCGACTCAAGCATCCAGCCGACCAGAGTCTGTTACTTCCTCTGATTGGCACGCTGGTGTTCGTCTTTCTTGCCTTAGCAACATGCATTCCAGTGTTAGTGTTTGCCTTCATTGTCGTTCCTGTGGCGTACGCTGTCCGGAGACTGGTTTCCTGCCGGCGATGCGCGTGCGTCGGTTGCCCGAATCTGCTGTCTGCTGTGGACCGCTACTGGTTGTACGAGACCGAATTGAACCAAGCTGTGAACCAGAGCTTGCTTCAACTGGACGGCATTCTGGAGGTCACACGCTTACGGGACCTGCTCCTAGCTCGACTGGTATCCGCCGAGAACAAACGAGGCAGTAAGTTATACTCTCGATTTACACAGCGCGTCATTCCAGCAGGATGCGGCTACCAGTGGAGCAACGATGACGAGTTTAACATCGATAATCACATAATCAAAGTTACCGAGTCTTTCAGAACTAAGGCAGATGTTGTTGGCTACATTTCCAAACTTTCCTCCCTGGCCCTTCGGCGCGACCGGCCCCTGTGGGAGACACACGTTCTCCAACTGGGGCAAGAACAGCCGGACACGCTCTTACTATTCCGCATCCACGCGTGCGTGTCGGACGGGGTGAACCTAAACGAGTTACTGCACAAGGCCTTAGCGGATACCCACACGAAATCCCCCGTTAACGTGCCACGGAAAACCCGCTTCGGTAGGCGTGCGCTGGCTTTCAATGCGATACGAGCCCTGATAGTGGGACCGCTCGTCGTCATCCGGCAGATCTTGTGCGGCAACGAGGATTTCAGCCTGTTCCGCGAGAGACGAATGACGGGACAGAAAGAAGTCACGTGGTCCGATCCCATCCCCCTTCCGCCCGTCTACCGTGTTAAACTTGTAACCAGGAGCACCATGAATGATGTGGCCATGTCAGCGGTGACCGGCAGCCTCAGACTGTACCTCCAGGAGTCGGGCGTGGAGAATCCAAAGAACATCCACTCCAACATGGCCGTGGACTTCCGAGGGTCCGACTCACCGCGCGACATCGGGCCCCTGGGTAACCGCTTCACACTCGCCAACATCAAGCTGCCGACGAGCACCGAGGGCGCTATCCCTCGATTATGGGACACCAAACGCCGCCTGGATGAGCTCAAACTCTCGGCAGAGCATGTGGTGCTTTACGGCATGACCAAAGCGGTTATGACCACATTCCCCGAGTCGGTAGCTCAGGGGATCCTGACTTCCTTTTTCGGTGAGAGTAGCTGTACCGTATCCAACTTGGCCCTGGGTGAAGATATCTTGTCGATAGGCGGCAAGCAACTGAAGATGATCCTATTTTGGATGTCACCAGGTGACGAGGTTCCCATTAGTGTGTCCATACTGACATATGCTGGTCAGATGAGGGTAGCCATACTAGCTGATAGAGGGATCGTACCCAACCCACAACTTATTGCAGACGAGTTCAAAAGACAGGTAAAATAGCAATTAAAGTGCCCCCTACTCCAGTCAATTAGCCATAAGATTCCACCTTTGAAATCACTCTCACGATTACCCTTTCTCCTCAAAAGCCTATTCATGTCGGTTTGTTCTTTCAAGTTGAACGCCAAAATGTCACTGGCAACGTATAGTTTTTTTTTGCTAATTGAATGTCGAGTATCTAGTGGGTGGAATCTGGTTGGAAACTGTTTTTAACCACAGTATGATTCCAGTTGAATACCGTACTAGCTATCAGGCTTAAAGACAGTTGCACACTGAGCTCTGGCCTCGTAATTTTGACAGCAGTTTATTATTTAACATTCCCAACAGATAGAGACACTAGTCGGCTTACTAGCGCACCGACGAATACCAGGAGAGTACAGACGTCGTGCAATGGACGAAGACGAAGATGAGGTAACATGCAGTCTCACTCGCTCACTTTAATACTCCATTAAATCTGATTACTTTTTGAAGCAGGTCCTTGACTTTAACGATTTATAATTCAACTAAAATGTATTGCAGGATGAAGACATTGATCCTCTGGAAGAGGAAATACGCACTCCATCCTCGGCCTCAAGCAGGAAAATCCGCCCTCTGTCAGCCAACTGTCTCCAACGACCGAGCTCGCGGTCGTCTTCCGTCATGCGGCCGCTGTCCACGTCGACGGACGCCAACGAGGCTAACGGCACTCTTGAGGGCGCCATAGGGTCAAACCGCGAAATATCTGACCTGGTGGTCGGCGGCAGGGCTCCCGAAAAGAGGGCTGACAGCAGTTGCAGCATGGAATGCGTGAGCTTCTCGGCTGAGGTGAGCCATTCCGAGGGCGAGTTGGCTTTCGACATTTCGCCCTGCGTTGAAAGGCGCACCTCGGCCGGCCATCTTGTTTAGAAAAGCACAATGCACAAAAACCAACCGAATTATTTCAATATTATTTATTCACATTATAATGCAATGAAAATTGTGCAATTTGTAGCTATGATAATTTTAATGTCTAGGGTAACCTTTTTTTTGTTCTCTATAGTACTACATTTTCGGTTTACACGTTAACTAATTTTCGACTTAAACTTTGTACTGAGTTAATTGTATCCAGCTGCTCCTTTATGTCCCATCTCTTTGTTACTCTTAGTAAGCGCTACACACATTTGTAACACAGGTCACCTTATTGAGTATGTATTATACTTTTCTTCATTTGGAGCAGTCTGAATTTTATAGAGATATCACTAAACAAGGAACATCAGGAGATTTTAAATCTGCCATAACATTCGTTTTGTTTAGGTGTATTAGAAATGATTATTACAAATGATCATTGTGATTCCCAAACCCCATTCCATCAAATTGCATTGTCTTTAAGGTGTATTGTTGTTTCCGTGAAACTTTAAATGTAGCGGTACTGTGCCAAAATGGAGGATACATCGATTGTAAGGTTGCCAAATGATAACGACCATTTTTTCACTAATGCCACTAATGTTGTGCTTTCAAGCCATATTTTACAGGTTTTTGGATTTGATAACTTTCGTGTAGCGTTGCATGTTCGATCGATTCAACCCCCGGAGCGAAACTGATTTTACAATTTTTTGTATGACGGATGAGAAAAAAAATGTATTCCGTGGATTGTGTAACACAATGGCAAAGGTGACCCCAAAAAATGCAAAGCTGAAACCTTTGCCTTTTTTTTTCTTCAAAAACGTAATCTGTGAATTTTTGTTGCTTAATATTTAATTTGACCAAATATTTAAAACAACATGACACATTGTATGACAAGAGTACAAATGAGTTTGATAGAAATACATTTGATTTTCTACACAGTGGCGCGCCCAAGGGGCGGGGGCCGGGGGGGGGGGGGGGTGGCTGAGCCCACCCCCTTGAGGTTGCGATTTTTTTTTTAGTCCCACGAATTGACCTTGATGATATGCATGTGGCCTATTTCGAGTAGTATAATAAGGGGGGGGGGAGTGGTGCCACTAACGTCAAAATACCCCCCCCCCCCAAAAAAAAATAAATAAATAAAACATAAAAAATAAATAAATAAATAAATAAAAGAATAGAAAAAAGAAAGAAAAGAAGAATTCTTCAACCAAACATTTTGGGCAATATTGTTTGACAATTTAAAAAAAATGAGCCGCCCCAAAGCCAAATCCTGGGTGCACCACTTTTTCTACCTGAACAGGTATCTTACTTATCCTTTTAGTTCTGTTTTATCCCTAAAAGGCCCGAGTTATTATGACCACCTGACTGGGGGGGGGGGGGCAAATTTCGCAAATCAGGAGATTATAAATCGGCCATAACATTCGTTTTGTTCACGTTTTTGAAAAAAAAAGAGGAGATCTTTCAGGCCTAGGTTGCATATTTTTGGGGCCACTCTATCTATAAACAATGACAGTGTTTCATAACAGAGTCTTTTTTTCCGGAATAGTTACGAGGTAGCATTATTAAAGAGTGTATATACATGACGGCGAGGTGACTCTATTCCAGTAACCTTTCCCGAAGTGTTTCGCTACACCGTGTTGTCATTATCAAGGCAGCTGATGAGTGGAAATACTGGAAATTACTTCGATGTGCATTGGTTCTTGTTGTTTCAGGCGTGCATAACATATTTTATATTCTTTTGTTGTTCACTTTTCGGTTTCAAATAGATATATCAAACTATATATATATAAATATATATATGTATACAAGGAACTATTACTAGAAAAGAATGAAATTGTATTGTGAATTAAAATCGTATTCATTTCATGAAGCGTTTTCCCCCCTTGCTTTTACTGTTATCGTCTCGTACAATGTGATAGGAGAAGGCACTGGCCTTATTTGCTGGCTGTGGCGTTACGACAAGGGAAGAGGGCGTTGGTGGGGTTGATGCCATACTAATTCCCTTTCCTCTATTTTGTTCGTGTGAAATAGAGAAAAGAAAGAAAATAGAAGAAATAAGAGTGCGCCTACTGTCAAATACGCCCATCCCGCTTTTCGGATTTGCAAAAACTGGCTATATAGCCAAATCTCCAAACCAAGTTTTCAACCCAAGACTTTTTGATAAAATGCAAGATGTAATCAAGGGCGGATCCAGAACTCAATTTTAGGGGGGGGGGGGGGCCAAAAAACTTTGGTCCCCCAAAAAAGTGGGTCCCAAAAATTACGGCGTGGGGTTCGGGGCCCGCTTATAAGGGCCCCGAATTTTTTTTGGATTCTAGATGCTCTGTGGTGCGATCTGAGGCAATTTCTTACCACTTTAACCAATGTTTTTTAGGAAAAGATGGTGGTGTACTCATTGCCTGCCTTTATTGCGATGTTACATAAAAAAAATATGGTTTCGGTGTTTTTTTTTGGGGGGGGGGGGGCATGGCCCCCTTTGGCCCCCCTGGATCCGCCCTTGGATGTAATAACTGCGTCCCGGTAGTTTCGTTTTATGCAGTAAATTCTATAGCGAGGCCTGTCAGCGCCATGCAGGATTGCCTCTATATATGCCGGCCAAAAGGAACATTAAAATGGGAAATTTTGGACAAACTTCAAGTCGTTCGAAAGCTGCTTAGCAGAGCAACAACATGCAAAGACAACCAAATGTTCAAACAAAAGACTTTTGGAGAAAATGCAAGATGTATTAACTAAGTCCCGCTGGGTTCGTTTTGTTCAGTAGCTCCGGAAGTACGGCCTGTTAGCGCTGTGCTGTATTGGCTCTCTATATGTCGGTCCAAAGGTATCTTTAAATACGAAATTGTACAAAAACTATATTTCGTTCGAAAGCTACTAAGCAGGGCAACAATATGCAAAAACAACCAAGTCTTCATACTGAAGACTTTTGGAGAAAGTGCAAGATGTATTAATACAGTCCTGCTAGTTGCGTTTTGTGCAGCAACTCCCCTAGCAAATCCTGTCTGCGCCATCCTGTATTGGCGGTCAAAAGATAATGTAACACAATTTCTATTGACCAAATTGCACCTTTAAACCATAGAGCGAGCGCATTGGCAAGAGTAATCCATAGTAGTCATATATTGCACCTGTTCTCAAGTCAGATTAATGCCACAAAACTATTTCAGAGCTTATACTTTGTGCAACTTAACCTACTTTAAACCATAATAGATAGTATTTGGTTTGCACTCAAACCACAGATGGACCTCTCGTGGTAGTCTCTATTGTTTACTCTCACAGTGCTAGGGATAAGTTACTTGCGCTCATACCTCTGTACTTATTTATGCAGGTATCTCCAAATAAGAAAGACACACTGCATTAGTATTCCTAATCTTGAAATCATTGTGCATATTTTAACCCAGCGCTACAAAGACCCTTTGAAAGCCCAATAGTACGCGGTCTTGCGACTGGGGCATGGCGGTGGATGGCAGTGTGTATTGTGGTTCCTTATTTTCTAAGTTCCTGTACATGTATGGCTGAAAGTGGAAGCCTAGTTTAGTTTGGCCTTGTTTATGTACAAGACGTTATAGATGTACTTTGACTTTGCACCATCACCTACACCATTAATTCACGCCAAGAGGTCCTGTGGTCTGCAAAGTCTTGTGAGTATGTTCCTACTTTAACCCCCTTGCACCCAATAGTTGTGACATTGCTACGGTGTTGCATCGTAGTGGTCTCCAGTCTAAATTCTTAGCTCTGTCAAAAATTATTCATAAAAATGGTATGTTGTGATCAACATCCATGTATTTTTCATAAATTTTTGGGCCACCGTTACAATACCTGAAAATATTGTAGCACGGCTACAATATGCCAAAACAAGTCTCCAAACTCAAGACTCTTGGAGAAAATACTAGAGAAAAAATGTATTAACTAAGTCACGCTGGTTTCGTTTTGTGCAGCAACTCCCATGACACGGCCTGTCAACACCGTGCTGTATTGGCTCTCTATATGTTGGTCGAAAGATATCTTTAAAAACCAAATTTTTAAAAAGCTATATATCGATCGAAAGCTGCTGAGCAGTGCTACAACATGCGATAAAATATGAGTCTTCACACTCAAGACTTTTTGAGAAAATGCAAAATGTATTAACTAAGTCCCGCTGGTTTCGTTTTGTGCACCAACTCCCGTAGCACGGCTTGTCAGTGCCGTGCCTGATTGGCGCTCTATATGTCGGTCGGAAGGTACCGTTAAGAACGAAATTTCAGACAAACTATATATCATTTGAGTAGGGCTACAACATGAAGGAACAACTAAGTCTTCACACTCAAGACTTTTGTAGAAAATGTAAGATGTATTAACCAAGTCCCGCTGGTTTCGTTTTGTGCATAAATTCCCGTAGCACTGCCTGTCAAAGCCGTGCTGTATCGGCCCTCTATATGTCGATCGGAAGGTACCTTTAAGAACGAAATCTCAGACAAACTATATATCTTTCAAAAGCTGCTGAGTAGGGCTACAACATTCAACAACAACTAAGTCTTCACACATAAACCATGTACAAAACCATCTCAAACGCCACAGGTCCATTTTTCCTGATGAATCTTAGGTCCGGTAGCCTCCGGTAATACAATGTATTACAATTTACGTCACGTGACTAAAACAGGAGGAATTCCTCCTTTTTCCGAAAATTTCCGAAGTTTGCCGAAGTCGTTTCGTCGACAATTGGATAGCGCCCGAGTATTTCCGAGTATATAATATAGGTTTAATTAACTGCTAATTGCTTATTAAATTTATTTTAAATGAGTTGATAATTAATATTCATTGTTTTCATTTAGAAAACTTGAAATTCAACGACGATTTTGTGCATCAAATATACTCGGATCGTACGAGCGAACTTTTTGATGCGTCATGTACAATTTTGAATTTGACGACCGTTACTGAGATTTTCCAAAACTCGGTCTCCATTCGGCTCCGACTGCTAAAAGTGCTATTTGGTTCCGTAATTTTGAAGATTCCAGATCATCATTACTCAATGTTATCTTACAAAAACATCACACTGTATTATCATAACTGTATAATATTACGAGGCAAGTGATTTATTTAAAGATTTGATCAGAACATTGAAAGCTACAAGCGATAAAGCGATATCGGAAACGAAGCCGCGCTTTGAAAAAGAGCCATTAATGTCGTCATGTTTATTTTTAGCCACGGAGGCTGCCTGACCTACAATTTAAGACGTGAGCGTCGGGAATAATTGTCAGGTCTGGGAACCAGACTAAAACCAGCCTCGCACGGCGCCATCGTGTGGTACGAAACCCATTTTCCTTCGGATCTTTCTGCTGATGCAGCGTTCGACCTGTTGCGTTTGAGAAATAACATCGACCGGTACGGTCTTTACAAAAAACTCTTGAATGCCGGTAGACTCTTGGGGGCGCTCTATCCGCGTGAGGCGCCCCAAGTTATTTAAGTTTTCTAAGGCGCTTTTGACAGGACCAGCGGGCCGCGGTTCATACGTTTTGTTGTGTGTATCCACTTTTACAAAACATTACAATGTGGACCACATTTCCATCTTTGTGCGTGTGGAATGTACAAATATCCAATTCATGTCAATTTGCAATGGCCATATGATTATTTTATGCCAATTGCAAGGAATGGTGGTGCAGCCCTGCTGATGCGACGGTCGGCTCGTTTACATCTTTTCCAGAAGCACGTGGCAGGCGCTCTCACATTTCTTACCCGCCGCTTCGGTGTAAATACAACACCTTTGGCTGTATCTGCATCGGAAGGAAATCGTGAAGATGTCAGAAATGTTGAGAGACAAGATGGAGACGCAGGCTTCCGATCTTCAGTTTCCTCAAGCTTCACTTCACAACTCCGAAATTTCCAAAATCATGGTCTTCATGCAGTTGGGTAAATATCAACATTTTTTTTATGGCAATGCTCTCTGACGACCGGGAAAAAAAGTACTAGTACTAAGCCTATAGTTGCAAC